AAGTCTGATACTGTGAAGGATCAGACTCTGGTACTTTCATACAGATCAGGAGCTCACAGCAGCAGAACAAGTGGAACTCTTGTGACCTTAAATTAAATCTAAATCTGTCAAATCTTAACTCCTATATTACATCTTAATGACATTTTGTCTAACACAGAGAGGAAAAGCGATCAAACATACCTGAGATGTACAAAATGAAACCCAGAACCAAACATGCAGCTTCTGCCAAGAACATGACTGTTGTAGACTTCAGCTTCAAATCAGGAAGTTGATGGATTCTTTTAAAGACCTTATTACAGCTGCTGCTTTGATGAAACCTGCTACAAAATACCCAAACATTAATAAATGGTCCAAACAAACAGCCGTCTTCTTACAGAGGAAAGAGTCTGTATGTGTGACAGAGAAACAGAGTCTGTTTTAATACCTCAAAAACCATTTCCTTCCTCATGATTATTCTGAGAAAAAGGAGACCTCTAGTGAAGAATCTGAGTAGTGAGGGGATCATTAGATGTCATGATGAACTTCTTTTCTCTCTGTATATTTTGTCAGCATTCTTAGTCTTGTTCTGTTTCATCCTTTGTGTGTTTGTGACAGTAAATAGGTTTCTTGGTTAAAAAGTTGCTATAGTTGTCTGAATGAGAGCAGAGACATGTGAAGCTGTCAGTGGCCATTTTGTGGTGCAGAAAAAAAATAAAGAAAAACAATTCTGTGAAGAGAAACCTTCAGACATGAAGGCTGTGAGTGGGCGGGACGCTAGTCAGTGGTTAGAACTGTAGCCTCACAGCAACAAGGTGATGGTTCCAATGTGGGCCTGGGGTCTTTCTGTGTGGAGTTTGCATGTTCTCCCCGTGCAGCGTGGGTTCTCTCCAGGTTCTCCAGCTTCCTCCCACAAGGTCCAAAATCATGCTGAGGTTAATTGGTGATTGTAAATTGTCTGTAGGTGTGAATGTGCTTGTTTATCTCTCTGTGTAGCTCTGAGATAGTTCTGTCCAGGATGGACCCTGTGACCCTCCAGAGGATTCAGCAGTTTATAGATTATAGATGGATGCTTGAACAATAGTTTACTTACACTTGTAAAGACCCTGTATATCATGACAGTCTTGAGTTTCCAGTGACTCCTACAACTGAATTTACTACGATGGAATCACTGAAACTCATGCATCATGTCATTTCTACTGAATCAAATCCACTCATCTTCAGTTGGATATTATCTCAAATAAACAACTAAAAAATTAAGTTTTCTGAAAATCTACAACAGTGGAGTTACCTGTTTTTGCAAATGAACTGTCACGGTTTGGCAAACAAAGGCTCAAGTGCAGACAAAAGACTGTCAGTGGCCATTTTGTGGTGCAGAAAAAAAGTATCCCTGAAGAGAAACTTTCAGACAGGAAGTCTGTGAGTGGGCGGCACGATAGTCAGTGGTTAGAACTGTTGTCTGTTTATTATTTCTGAAGTTGTCATCTTGGTATTTTGTTCTTTCAGTACTGAAAAAAGAAAAAGAAGAAAAAACTTCTCACAAAACTAAAACTAATCCTGGACTACATGATATTTTAATTCACTAAAACAAATGTAAAGGACAACATATTTCAGCAAATGCTAATGTAAATAATCTAGAAGGTCGTTTACATGCAAGAGGAAAATACATACACACAAGCAACAATATGTTTTATAGCACGGTGGCTACAAGCAGATGAATAATGAACAATATTTGAAAATAAACCTAAAACATAAAACTACAAATGAACAATAATCAGGTTCAACCAACACCACTTGGTTGGTCCAGTAAATATACATTTTTTTTCCTGTGGATTCTTGAAACTTGTTCAAATTATACCACCTTTGTTTCTTTACTGTATTTGTTGTTTTGTACACGTCTTGATGTCTATTTTTTGGAATTTGTTCTCAAAACCTTCTTGGCAGTTTTGATGTCAAAGTTAAAATATAAAACAAATACAAAATTAGAACAATGACCCATTTTTTTATGTTTGAGGAATAATCTGAGTCTGAACCAACGCCTCAAACATGAACGATAAAACACTGAAATGAGTAAAAACTATTCATCTGTAAAGGAATTGAAATAAATATAGGTTCAAATCCATTATTGATTTGGTTCACCTTGATGCCAAAACTGAACAAAGACCTGTAACTTGAACTTCATGGACCCTCCGTTGATCAGAGAGATGTGCTTGCCCGGATTCTGACAGAAATTGGCAAAAATTGAATTCACCAGCTGGCCCCTCTGGTCACCATTTTTCCATCGCACAGGACTACGCAACACGTTTCACTGCTCTGATTGGTCGCAGGCTTATTCTATTGCATCCAGAGACTTTTATGTCTTTGTCCTTAGAAATGGAGAATTACCTGAGAGACTAGTTCACAATAGTGCATTTCTCTGGTCACACTTGGCTACATCTTTATAAGAGTTTATCGTTAACGTTTAATTATAGAGCTACATTTTTAGTATCTGCTATTCTGTTCTTTAATAAACCATATGTCAATTCTAGTCGGTTTTGTAGTCGAACCCGCTGATTTTATCTGCTGCTCATGTTGTTCTTTCGCAGATATATCAGTACCAGCATATATGTTATTAGATATGGACATGAAAACTGTTACTACGGAGCACAATGAAGACAAAAATGTTCAGATAATTTTAAAAAATAGTTCAAGTTCATAGAAAGAGCATCAACTCCACTGAGTCCAACATGGTTAGCATCGTTGCCTCTCCGCTCGAAGATCGCCGGTTCGCACCCCGGTGAGGACACCCGGGACCTTTTGGGAGTTTTGGAGTTCTGCCCATGCAGCGTGGGTTCTCTCCGGGTTCTCCGGCTTCCAGCTAATCCAGCTATAATGGGAGGAGATTCTCACTCGGGGGTCACGTTGGGTCTAAAGCTGACAGCGGCATAAGTGACCTGCTGGTCTTCTTTGGGCTGATGCGGTTCGACGGTGGCGTAGAGAGGAGCGGTTTGGCTCTTAGAGAAGTGGACACTGCTGTAGTGAAGGTCATCTTGCTCTGTTGGCTGAGCTGAGAGGTTTCCATACAGAGGGCCCTGGTTCAGCTACAGAGAGACGGTAAATAAGATGAGTTTACATCGGAGACGTTTACTTCCAACACTGAGGCTGAACGGAAACACAAAGTGCATCTGCACATCAGGGCTCCTGTCATCTTTTTTTCCCCCCTCTGCTGGTCACACTTACCAGCACTTTGACAAATGCTGTACATGTTAATTTATTTATTTTTATTTTTTGTAAAATAAATTTACATTTGGTTTCTGTCTTTTTTTATCATTTGTGGTATTAGGTCTGTGTCTTACTGCACAAAAGACATGTTTGTGTTCATCTAGCCGTTATATAGCTGGTTATTAGGTCAGATTTATCAGTGTTGATGACTGCATTCATATCACTGATGGCAGAATTAAGCAGACTACAGAACAGCACTGCACTCTCTGGGTTACCAATCATTAATAGTTTTGGCTACTTCGCAGTGAAGTGCTTTAAATAGTTTGGCCCTCATATTGTTGTCTAAGAACTTCTAAATTTGTGATCTTTACCTGCTCTGTATTGTCTGTAGCTTCAGTTGTAAGAGAGTGACCTGAAGTCCTCTTCCTTCTGCTTAGGGAAATGAATTGATGAGTATGTATTCAGACAAGAAAGTGAACGTCACCGACAGGCAGCAGAGCACAGTGTTGCTCACCTTATCCAAAAGAAGACAACGAGAGGTGTGATAATGAGAAAAGCAGCACCGACGCCTGCAGCTGCTGCAAATGTTTCTGTGACTCTTTGGACAGTTACAATCTTTTCACTGGAGGCCATGGTTGTCTCGCCAATTCTGACAGCACAGGAGTAGCTTCCTGCATGCTGAATGCTGACTGGATCCAGAACCAGGTGTTTGTTTTGGCTCAGAGGCAGGGTCAGAGGTTCACTGTTCAACTTCCAAGTGTAGGTTGTGTTACCAGACAGAGGACAGCTGGTGCTGCAGGTCAGGGTGACTCTCTGACCCTCTGTCACCTCTGCTGGACGCACCCACACGCTGAGGCCTGAAAGATTGTTCATACACAAAATGAGAAGACATGCACAGATTCTCAAACCCCGGATCAGTTCTAAATATCAGCATTTTCTGCTGCTCTTAATTGTTTCATCACTCCTTCAAAACTTTCCCACTGCCCCTTGGATTTAGGATCTGTTTAAATGTAGGAAACAGAGATACCGTTGAGGGAGAAAAACCTCCTTTGAAAGGCTGCTTTTACAGAACTGCTTACATTTCGATGACTGTTACAGGACTGTCTGTAGGAGAAATACAAACGTCCTTAACATCACCCTACACAGACTCTGTGTTTCCTGCCCCTTCACATTTAAAATGCTGGAAACAAGATGCTCTGGGCTCATGTGTCCAATCAAACACAAGCTAAGGCCGGAACTATGTGGTCATCACCGTTCCTCTTTCTCAACAACCCAGAACGACACTGTGACAACATCTGCACTGGTGCAAGTTCTGCTGAACTACCTGTGACTACCAGCGTCACTCTGGGAAAATCCAACAGTTTCCGTCCTCTGTCACGTGTCTGCAGTGCTGCGAACACGTATGCCGCTGAGTCCTCCCTTCTCAGGTGTTTGATTCTCAAGATGCGCTGATTCCCGTCGTCGTGATGCTCGACGCGTTCTGGAGCCTCGTTCAGCTGCTCAGCTTCCTCCTGCTCGCCACCTCTTTTTATTTTATACCATGATGTAGAAGGGGTTTGCCGGTGACCAGGGTGCGAGTATTGACCCGTGATGTTCACTGAAGAGCCTTCCAGAGCACAGATTCTCCTGCTGGCATAGTTCACCGTCCAGCATTTCTTTTCCACAGCACCTGAGAAACAGAACACCCCAACAGAAATAGGTAGGTCTGTTTTTCTTGTGTTACCTTTACCTTATCCCTTATCGGTTACTTCTGTCTATTCCGGGGTATTGAATTGTAATAGTTACTCTTTCCTCCAAGTAAAAACAAAAACAAAACAGAAGTCACAAGTCTCTGACTGCAGCTAATGAAATCTTAATATTTTTGGGTTTCTTTACTCGTCATAACAGTAAACTGGATATCTTTTTGCTGTGGACAAAAGACGACATTCTTAGACGTCATACTCACAGACTTCAGGAGAGAGCAGATCCTCAAGGCCTTTGACAGCACAGTAGACGCTTTTATCAGAGGATCTTGAAGCTGAATACTGTTGCTTGTCAGAGCGTCTGTGCAAGACTCTGTTCTCGTACCAACTGTAGGATGTTTTCAGATCAATCTCAGGACAGCTGGTGGCACATTTCAGTCCAACCGGTGACCCTGGAGACCTCTGAACTTCTAATTCTGTTGGAAAATGATGAATGCACGTTTCATGTTAAATTAAATAAATGAACAGTTACAGAAATTATGTCCAACCTCAAAGGTCGAGTCGTACAGAAAAAAATAAAAAAAGATGGAATTAGTGATTTACAGCAAAGACTTAATAAACGTGGAAGGTGTAGAAACATCTGTGGAAAATTCACCTTTGGGATACGTGGTGGAACAAGCCTCAGTCACGTTTGTGTGATGATACGAACACATCCTCCCTTTAGCGTAGGTCACACTGAAGCAGGTCGCTGTGACAGAATCTGCACAGAAACAAGTT